AGAGAGAGTATATCATTGACAAATTCCATTGAAACGCATTCACTTTGCATAATCCACTTCTCGCGTTTGCACGTACACCGCGCGATGCATTTATACAGGTGTACGTATATAATGTGTGTACGCGTTATCGCCAGCGTTTAAGGTTGCGTCAAATGTGCGCCCCGAGAACGACTCCATACACCGATTTCTCAAACCCCAGCCCAAACGATTTCGTTTCGTGTATGACAAATCGCTACCTCCCGAGGATTACGCGACCCCATTTACTGCACGCAGTCAAAATAAAAGGGCCGGGGTGGTCGAGAGAGAGAGAGAGAGATACCAGGAGTCGAATGCCGGTCCATTTTTCAGGCCCGTGCAACCTTTCTCTTTGCCGATGCACATTGAATTTTCGGCATAACGAAAGCACCGGGGCTGTTGAGCACACGCGTACATATTTTCAAGTACACACTCGGGGCGGATTTATTGATCGACGGAGAGACCGGCTCCGAGCCAAACCTCAAAAAGCACAAGATAAACCTACACGTTTATAGGCATATTATCTGCGTATCGGGATCTCTTGCGTAACCGCCACCGCCACGTCTATTTATCCGTCCGCGTTGTTTTCGACTTCCACTCGCCCGGAGCAGTGACAAAAGTTATACAGGTACACGCGTGTACAAGCGATTGTCTATTATTAGCCCACTCTCGTGTGCACGTTCCGCGTTTGGGAGCCCGCACGAAGACGATCACGGCCATTTGGTGGTATCGATGATTTCTCTATCCGATCTGCCGGTCATATACTTGCACTCGCGTTTACGTAACGCATATAACACGGAGTGATTTATTACGTGCAATCCGATGGCGTTTAGTTTTTTTTTTTCGAGCCGCGATCAAGTTCAATCAAGTCCTTTCCAATTCCACGTTTCTACGAGAGCTGCTGCTGGTTATTAATTCCATTGTGTGAAGCTGTTTCACCTTCTCTGCGACTTGTAGCCGTTGGGAAACGCGATCTCATTGATGATGTATTACTGCGCCCATTATACAGCTCGCACGTGTGTACCAGAGCATTGTCGGACCGTCACATAAATTAATTTTAATAAGTGAATCCAAAGAAAGAAAAAATAGAGCGGGGGAGTAGAAAAAAGCCTCAAAAGCTGCCAATGGACGTGGGAGTGTTGTGTAGGAGCTTTCGCCGCTGAAAGTTCAAAGAGTTGGCGGGCGATTCGTTGAAACAAATAATGATATCAGCGCGAGGGATCTTGGAGACACCGAGCTTTGATTTATGTGGACGCGCGCGTTTCGCGCTCAATTGCACGGAAAAAAAAAGTTGTCTCGAACTAAAGCTTAAAATATCTCAATCCTCGCGAGACGCCCGTGTATAGGTATACACACAGCGCAAGAGAGCGCGTGTGACTCGCCGAGGGCAAGGCCGGCGCTCTCCGCAATGGACCTGTCTCGCCGCGGGCCGTGAGCTGCTGCCGTATACACATTGCGCCGATACTCTCGCGGAAATTCCATCCGTCCTGATGTACCTCTGCACACGCTTTTTCCCTATATACGACACTTCTCGAGAATTGGCTGTATTTACATACATATATACATCCACGTGTGTAAGCGTGTCGCGCAAGAAAACGCGTGTAATTATATGCAGCGCGTTTTCGTTAAGTGTACGCGTGTTACATGTTGTATATATATATATACATACCTACACTCGAGCGACCTTCAATTGTTTCTCGCGCGCCGAGATAATCAACATTCGCGCTGTACCCTTATCCCCCCTTTGACTAAGTATGTACAATACATAAAAGTCAGCTGGTCTATTACGGCTGAAACGGGATCAGATCGGATCGCCAGATAATACCCTGTACGTATAAGTTTGCGAATGGCGACTAGGTGCGCAGTGCAATCAAAGGGAGTTAACCGGGATGCGGATGTGTATATATCGCGGATACTTTGTCGAATTTCTTGTGGGGTTGGATCCAAGGGATTTTTGGCGAAAGGCGAGTCAAGCGACGAGGTGCTGTAGATATGTAAGATCGGCAAATCGGCAGATGTGTCGCACTGGTGTTAATATACGTTACACACACAAATTAAACGCGTGTACATATGATAATAATTATTATTATCATCGTAAATGAGTATATAGAACCGAGCGGTCAATTTGCGTACGTGTAGGCTTTCGTAATGGTATATAATGAATCGGCGAGGTTTGCCTTGTCTTTGACCTTTCCATTATAATAATGGAAAGCTGTACCTCTCGCTGTTTTACTTGCGTGCACGTATAGCACACGCGCTATAAAATACATGGAACGCGGTAACCCTTACCTCGTGTATACACTCGAGCCGGAAGTATTTGAATGAAAACGAAATTGCCCGCCGATGCGATTCTTTTGGTACACGTATAAGTATACATACACAATGGTCCATTTGGATTTATCGGTGCTATTGTAACTGTATAAGCACTGGACTACAATTGTTTGGTAAACACGCCGGTGGAATGTAGTTGCAATGACGAAAGGGAAAACTTGCGGGAGGAAAGCGTCTTTGCCCGAAAACCGAGAGGACGGACAAAAATACCGGCTAGCTTTTACTCCCGAGGTGTTGGCGTATACGTCACAACAGGATTGTACCATCAAACGCGAAAGTGATTTTACAGCCGAAAAGAAAAAAAAAAAAAAAAAAAAAAAAAAAAAAAAAAAAAAAAAAAAAAAAGAATTAATCCACGCGGCGACTGTGAAAAAGACGAAAGGTGAAATTTTAATGTTAAACAGCTCCGGAATAACAAACAGCGAGCGCGCGATACTTACACTTTCCCAGTTGCGCAAAATTTTGCGAGAGTTTCGTCCCAAAACCGGCTATTCGGTGATTACTCGTTGTCACGCGTACGTATACCTATGTACATGATAAAGTAAGACGGAGGAAGATGGAGAGTAAACATCCTTCCCCCTCTGGTAACGTCGCTTTTGGACGTCGTGTAACGAGAGTAATTTCGAAAAGGAGACGATTGCGAGGGTTTTTCGAGAAGCCGACGTTTAATCCGGAGGCACCGTTGTAAGTACAAAAGTACCTCGTATACGCTCCGATTCTCTCGCTCGTTACCAATTTTATCCTCGAGCCCATTATATTCGTGCATGTATATATATAAGTGCAGGTGCCTTTACAATGCCCCCTCCCCCCCCAATTAGGTACTTTCCTTTACTGAACTAAAGCGCCGGGCGTTTGGGGAACAATGCGCTTGACTTGACGTTAGTTGTTGCTCGTGTGCAGGGGTATTGTTTTCGGCATTTTGTTGAATTCGAACTTTGTCGAGTGAAAAAAAAAAAAAAGAAGTTTAGGGGCTCTTTAAATTTACAGCCAGCAATAAATTAACGCGGATGAAATGAGATACGCGCTCGCGCGTGTGTGCGCATATGGTTGGATAACGTTTTATTAATTAAATCTAATTTATGGTTGGTTTCTTGCATTGCTCTGCATACACGTATGTGTTGGTGAAGTGGCCGCTAAATTGGCATCCCAATTTTCCGGCGATTTACGAACGAGCGTGTAACGCGTGTATACCTATACTTTATACGTGTATATAGTGGCGACGGTGCAGCGAAAAATATGAGATGTGTGTACCTGTATGTACGCCGTGTGTACGCGGAGGTAAATGCGTTTAATTAATTCCCGACGAGTAACGATGGAGTCGATGGATTTTCATGAAAATTCAGTGTTTCCTCGTGTGCACTGCTGTTTTATATACGTATTCGCATATAAAGTTACGTGCGACTGCGGAGATAAGTTAAAAGATTACTCGGAAAATCGTCCTAAACGTTGTTCTGGTGGAATGTTAATGCGCGATTAGTTAAATAAATTTCAAATTTAAATGACCCAAAACAGTATCCGGGTATGGGTTTTTCCTTTAAACTATGTGAATTTTTGTAATAATCTGACACGAATCTCATGTATTTATGTAATTATTCTCGCATACCTCAGCAAGTACTTTTAAGCTTCGGAAATGGTTAACTAAAAGGTAAAAAATTACATTGGATTTATTTCACTATACCCATGATGTAAAATTATTTTCACGACCATGTGACGGATGATTTTCCGTGGAATCGTTAATAACATGCACCACGAGTCTTAATGACTCGAGAGAAAGAGAGTGACACTTGCAGTCTCGCATCAGCCGTACCTAGTGAAAAAAATCAGCTTGGATCGAAAATAATTATACCGCCTGCTGTGCTAATCGCGGCCGCTACACGCGAATGGGTACAACTCCGGAGCGCGCGCAAGCACGCAAGCGCGACTACCTCGTTTCGAAACCATATGCCACGCGGTACTCGCGAAAGGATCCTCGTGCTCTTCGAATCGCATTAATTGCAAACTTCGCGCCGATTCTCCCGACAATATGTGCACGCGTTGCGGTGTAATGACCGTCGAATCGAGCGTGAAACCAAGACGAAAGCCCGTGAAATTACCGGGAACGGCGCGAAAGCTATCGCATCCGACGGAGGGACGCTTAACGATGCCGATAAGTGAATTTAAATGCGAAATAGCCTCATCTGCGCTTCCTTTCCACGTGTCCAAGAAAAAAAAAAAAAAACAAAAAAAAACGAGAGCGTAATGACGAAATAAAATTGAAAATCACGCGTGTAACTTGGAGGAAAAGTATAAGACCCAGTTCGCAGTGGTGGAAACTAAACGAACGCGAAAACGATGAGTTACGACTACGCGTCTTGCACAATGCACCACTGGCTTTTCTTTTCCATCCTCTGTTATTTTTTTCCTTTGTCTCCGTTCTTCCAAAGCAAGTTCGGCTCAAGTATGCCCGACAGAAGGATGTATACAAGAGCCGCGCTCGGGGGTAAAAAAAAAAAAATCTCCATACGAGCAGTTTGATTTATAAAACTTCATGCCGTTACATCAAAGTTACAAATCGACTACCCTGAAACCTCGCACGCAAGCAACCATACCATAATTATAACGACTGAATGTACAAACTGATAAAACGCAAAGGTAGCACGATCGTGTGGACTTACGAATTTCATGTTGGTGAACCTCCCGATGATACCTCGCAGCACTGGCGCAGCCGGTAAAGTTTGAAAACAATGGCACGCGCGCCGCACTAGACGATAGTTTGCACACACGCACGCCGAGCGAGTGCAGGTGCAACACTGGCGCGAGTATCTCCTCCTTGGACGCCGACGACTCCTCCTGTTTAGTATACGTTCCGACTCGCGAACAACCGCGGCGGTGTCCGCTTACCGCAGGACTGTTGCGCTGCTTTGATTCGACGCGCCGTCCAACTCTGCTGGCCGCGGCTGCCGCTGCTGGAGGGGTTGCGCTATGCTCGTATATGTACTTCTCGGTGGTTGTGGACGGACAATCGGGCCAGAGGGAACAAAGTGCGTCGGTTTATTCGCCGGAGGCTTTGGCTCTATTGACCCTCGGTGGGGGCCCGGCCGGGGACTTTATACCGAGCGAGAGATGGACCCCCTCCCTTGGGTGCCGGCTCTCTCGGGAAATGATAATCATCGGCCGGGCACGTGTGCAGCGGTGGGTGGCGCGATGCTGGACATCCGCGAAGGCCAAGGGCGCTTCCTGTGTTGCGTCTGGGGGGGGGCAAGCGCGCGTCTAAGATCAGGTGTTACGATTTTTTGGACCCCTCGCATTTGGGAATAAGCAACGGTTTTACAATCCAACGGATGCTGTTGGAGTGTTTTTTTTTTCTTTTATTATCATAGGTAAAAAATATTGTGGTCATGGGAAGGGTGAAGAAATTCCCTGTGACTTTTGGTCCCTCCGTAGGGCACCAGGGTCAGTCTGGTGAAAGGACGGCTCCCTTAGCGCGAATTTGTTCCTATACTTGCAGTTGCCTTCGGGTACGGGTGAGAGTGAGAGAGGCCTTCGAGCTTCCGGCCTTCTGTTGCGCTGGGCTTTTTTTTTCATCTATTTGTTTTTTTTGTCTTCATCTCCATCCTGTTCGAAAGAAGGAAGAGAGAGAGAGAATAAAAAAAAATTCGTTCGCTTTTGCACGCCTCGAAGGCCGAGTCTTTGTTGTTGGCGTTGGTGTATTTTTGTTCAATTAGCCGGCCCATTAGAGTCAACAAACCCCGCCAATGCCGATTTTCCCGCCTCGCTGAAAATCACGCGGTATCTCTTGTTATTAAGCGCACCGAGAATATGAAACAAAAAAAATTACCGCAGTTGCGTCATACGCCCGGCGTGTCCTTACACGATAGCACCTTTTGCATACAAGTATAATTAATACAATGGACCCACGTACAGGTGCATGAAATATCACCTCGTGTGTACATATTATTACGGCGCGCATCGGCTAATTACATCATTAATTGAAAATGAACGGCTAGCGCTGTCTCTTACGCACCGGGTGAAGCGGATTGCGTGAAGAAAAAAACGTACAATCATACGTATAATGGCTTCTCGCAATAAAAGAACCCGGAGAGGAGGATAAAAAAAAAAAAAATTAATGCTCATCCTTTGTTCCTCCTCCTCCTCCTCCTCTACTCGGCTGATAGTTTGAAACTCAAGTTTCATCATCCCGAGTGCACCCCCTTCCCGCTCCCTGCGTAACAACAAATAAAAACGGAACTGACGCGCTCCCATTCGGTGATTATAATAATTCATCGCAATTACAAGGCCGCGCGCGTACGTGCTCTCCGAGTTATCGGCAACGAGCAGTTCCTTATTTCCATCGTGGGCACGGAGCTTCATGGTTTTGCAAAAGTAAGGAAAGACGTCTTAAAATTTTATTATTCGTCTCTTTATCGCGCGTTCAGCAACGGTTAAAATGGCACTGATTCAAAAAAAGAGGAAGCGCAGCAGAAGAGTCCTTTGTTTTTTTTTTTTTTTTTTTTACTTTTTCAACGAGTTATACCTACACAAGAGCTTTATTGAAAGCTTATCGTGTATACCACGTGCGCTCGTAAGGTCCTAATGACTCGTTAAATAATACTTTTACGTCACGACATTATTCGCCCTGCGTGAAAAATTTCATTGCCGCGTGAATCGTAAAACCTCAAAAGCTGCAGATAAGGCCCTCAGTGCCATATGTACACAGGATTTTTGTCCTTCGACGAGGGAATCGTATAGCTTATGGCGATTAACCACCAAACACCGTATAGGCATATGCTTTGTTTCAAAGAGAAGTTAAAAAAAAAAACTGATCTAGAAGAGAAAGTCGGCTCGACTCCTGCATAATATGCATACACGTACAAGAGCGTCAGATAACAAAACACAAGGTATAATATATACACAAATGCCAGCGTTGCATAAAACACCGTTGATATGGACATTTCTTTTTTTTTTTTTTTTTTTTCCTTCGGCATCGGCGGTACCAAACGTACCTGCTCTCCCGTATACACGGGTTGAAATTGTCCGACGCTTTTTGAGAAAATTCCATTAAAGAGGCACTTTGTTCTTTTTCACGGAAAATACTTGCATTTCGAGTCAACGCGGCGAGCCAGCTCTATGGCTAATTAAAATTTTAAAATTAATCCAGATCGAAGAGGCGGGAGGAGTGGGGGGGGGGGGTAGTAACGTGCAATTATCCGCGCTTGACGTAACAAAAGAGCGAGAGTGAGTGACAGCACCGTTTCCCAACCTACGCACATTATACCTATATATGTATAACTGGTAGGGAGCCAGTGGCGGGATAGTACATCGATATGTTGCGGGTGACTAACTAAGTAAGTGTATACGCACCTGAAGCGCAAAGGAATGCCTTCAATGTCAAACGCATCTTGCGCGAGGTGTCTCGGCTCCGATGCGATTTACGCATTCACGCGTTATATATATACATACATAAAATATATGCGCTGTTGTTACTTGCCGGATCCATAAGTGCACATAATGTATACCTACATGTAGAGCGATAGGCTCTTGCATTCCGTATATAACTTTCATTTAAGTTGGGTTGGTTTAGTGCAAAGCGGGTGTATATACGTCGAGCATTTTTCGCCGATAATTCCTAGGGGTCTACTCCCCTATATTCTGCTACCTAAGAATTCGAGAACTTGTATTTTTTCATTTTCGCTGATCGGTAATTTTATCCCGAATACATTTTGGTATCCACGTAGCTCGAATATACATAACGTACTTGTAAGTATAGTAACAGTCCAGTTCTTGATCGGTGTGGTAAAAGGGATAGATAAATGTTTAAAATCCATTGTTACATTATAAACGCAAACGTCTAACTGGCACGTACAAATTCACGTGTCACGTATACAGTATCGACAATAGTACCCATATACATATAGCCCATTGCGGGGACATATGTATATATTATCGATCTAAAGTGAGTTTTATGTAATAGATACGTCCACCATGCAGCTTGTTGTATATCAGCTCGCCTATTTCATTCACGCGCGGCTTCGCATTTTCAATCAAAGGAAATGCCAGGCACGCTGTTATACATATGCATACATTATAACATGGTACATATTTATATACCATGTAGAGTTTTTTCCCCCACCGTCAAAGTGTAACAATCTGCAATTAATAGAGCATGCGATTGCAACGACATACACGTGCATACTTATATACCTACCGATTAAAACACCCCAGAGCAGGACAAGTCAAGGACACCTAGACGCGGATAATGGCACGCATAATAGGTACACCCATGCACTGTACGCGTCAGCAGCCACGTAATCGTAGATTCCGATTCCGCATGAAATATTCAAACTCTTTGGTGAAGTCGTAAAATTTTAATTTCATGCCCGAGGTATACAGGCATACAAGTGTACGAACCTTCCGTCCAGCTGTGCGCGCGTTTAGCGCTTTTTAATGCGCCTGTGAATCTCCGTGTTTGCGATACATATAGGTATACCTGCCTTTTTCCTCGCCACCGGGCAGCATCACAAGATGTGACGTCTCTATATGTCCCCCCCCCCTCCCCACTTTTGCCCCTATATGGTCACGCAGGCGCAATCTTGCGTTGTATAATCGCGCGCGCGAGCGGAACATCCGTTAACTCGGAATTGACTATGTATGACTGCCCGATCTTCGGGATCCCGCGTCACGGGAGCCGCGCGTCTTTTTATCTCCTTCGCGCTGTACGTACTTTCCCCGTATGCGCCGATCAACGTCATCGATCTTCATTGTCTCCAGCGATTATACTGCCTTTTTTTACCCTGTTCGAGTGATTATCCTCCCGTGAACCGTGTGCATTATTTTTCTTTTTCTTCTTTTCTTTTTTCATATATAACCATGCGGAGAGGAAAAATTGTCCTTTGCCGCGCCCGGCTTCTTTTAAGGGTAAAATATCTATGCGCTCACGCGGCGCAGGTTGATAAAACAACTGTGTATATACCTTTTTTTCAACCTGAATTTTTGTATACACATTTATGCAATTAGGAAATTTTCATCCCAAAAGCCATATGTGTAGTCGTATCCAAAGTGTCGCAAATTTCTTTGGAAACTGTGAGAGATTTGCATAATGGGGGAATTTCAAGTTTTTGTCCAGTCGATATTAAAAGTCCACTGCAGCGCTACATTATACTATAAACTCGTATTGACACTTGATACGCGCCATACGTGTATATCTATACGTAAAAGTGAGCTGTTTAATCGAGCACATAATATAATAATTTTCACGAGGAAAAAATCCAAGTGCTGCTGCAACATCAGCGTCGGAGCGTATACGTGCCGGTGTGCACGCGCGCGATCGCCGATTCTTTACGTTCGGTATATACACATATAGTAAATATACGAGAGTAGAAAGGATACCATCCGGTGCGTACATATATGTATGTATATCCATACAAATGCAGGCCTTCCGAATCCTTGAAGAACAGTAAAAAGACTCTCGACCTTACATCCCCCTCCCCCTTCCCAGCCGATCGCTGCTTCTACTGCACCAGTTTGGCAGTGTGTTAACGATGGTCACGGGGTTCCTCGAAAGGAAGGCCGCGCGAAACGTTTCCTATAAATCCAGAAGCACCGAGAGGCCGGCCGCTGAGGCCAAATCTCTTCATATCGACTTCCCACGATCTTACGTGTTCGCGTCCCCCCTCCCCTCGCCGATTTTTTTTTTTTTTTTATCTAGTACGTTTTCAGTGCAGGACTTTTCGATCGATACGTTATCGAGGGGCCACTCGTATATTTTTTACGGCACGCTTAGTAGCGCGGGTGTACTTTATTGTTTCGTGGGTTGATTGATATACGTTTATCGCGAGAACACGATGTAGAAATCGCTATCGCGGATCTCAACCCTTTGGGTTTGTTGAAATCCACCTTGTCTCTCCATCGGGTGATCGTACTTTATTTTTTTGGCAGTGGTCGAAATTTTTAAAAAAATATGGGTAAATATATTTATAGTATAAAAATTTTACATTTGTTAATTGCGTGCAGCGCAATTGTACTTTTCTATTTTTTTTTTTTTTTTTTTTTTTCTTTTTTTATGATAA